GGGGATGGGGGACTGGAAAAGAATAGCCAAAGAACATGTATGAATATATGCATAGCCCATGGATACAGACAGCAATGTGGCGACAGCCAGGATGGGGGGCTGGGTGAAGGAGGGCAAAGGGGGAGGAATGGAGACATCCGTAATAGTGTCAACAACAACAACAAAAAGAAAATGCGCAGAAACACAAGAAACCCATGGCGAATTGCCTCCCAAGACAAACTTCTACATGAACAATGGGTCAAAGAAAACTAGACATTTTTAAACACTGAATGAAAATGAAAACACATGTCAAAATTTATGGAATGCAACTAAAACCACATATAAGGCATAACTCATAGCTTTAAACACCTATATTAGACAAGAAAAAAGGTCTTAAAGACTCAACTAACTATAAATATAATGGAACTTCCTCAACCTGAAAAAGAACATCTGCAAAAAACCTACAGGTAACATCATACTTAATGATGAAAAACCAAATGATTTCCCCTGAAGATGAGAAACAAGGCTGAAGTGTCTGTTCTTACCACTTCTATTTACTGTACTGGTTCTAGCCAGTGCAAAAGGCAAGAAAAAAAAAAAACATACGACATCCACACTGAAGAAGAAGAAGTGAAATTCCGTGATCTTACATGTAAAATATCCTAAAGAGTCTCCAAAATTGTCCAGAATACATAAATTTAAATCACAGTATACGAGAATATAGACTACACAAGATACGAGAATATACAAAAGCCAATTACATTTCTATATACTAACAATGAACAACCCAAAAACTGAGATTAAGACAATTCAAATCACAGCAACAGAAAAAAGAGTAATCTACTTAGGAATAAATGTAACAAAATAAGACCTAAATACAGATGTCTTAAATATTACAACAAAAGCACGGCCATCATGGAAAAAAAATTTTAAATTGGACTTTAACAAAATTTAAGACATTTGATTTTCAAAAGACAGTATTTTAAAATGAACAGACAAACCACGCTGGGAAGAAATATTTGCAAATTATATGTCTGGTATAGGAACTGTATCCAAAATAAGGTTATAGCTCAATATAAGATAAACATTGCAATTTAAATATAGCAAAAGATTTGAATAAGCATTTCATCAAAAAGAATATATGAATGGCTAATAAACACATGGAATCATGCTTAATATCACTGGTCATTAGAGAAATGCAAGTAAAAATCACCTTGAGATACAATTACACATCCACCTACATGGTTATCATTGGAACTGATAATATCCTGTGTTGGCAAAGATACAGAGAATCTGCAAGCCCCATACACTGCTGGTGGGTATGGCACAGCCACCTTGGTAGTTTCTAAATAAGTTAAACATAGACTTACTATGACTCAGCTATTTTACTCTTAGTATCTACCCAAGAGAATGAAAATATATGTCCACATGAAAACTTATACATAAATGTTCATAAAAACATTATTTATAATAGTCCAAACTAAACATTTCCTGACTTTTCTACATTAACAAATCTCTCTCTGAAATGACCTTTTTACATGTTGTATCTTTAAAGTCCATCATTATCACAGTCACTTGTTGACCCAATGTTCATAACTGGCAATAGATAAACAAAAATGGTATATCCATTCTATGGAATGTTATTCAGCAAGAAATATGGGTGGAATTTAGATTCCATATTACAACAAGGATGAACCTCAAAAACTTTTCCTCAGTAAAAGAAGTCAGGCATAAAAAGTTTACAGGGTGTGATTTCATTTATATAAAACCTCTAGAAAAGGCAAATCTATAGAGACAGAAAGCAAATCAATGATTGCTTGGAGCTAATGGTGGGAGTGGAAATGAGCTATAAACAGGCATGAGGACTTTTGGGGGTAATGACAATGCTCTAAAACTGGATTGTGGGAATGGCTGTTCCACTCCTCAGTTTGCTAAATATCACTGAAGTCTACACTTAGAGTATGTTTCTCATTGGCAATTAAATTGTTCAAGTAACTGCCAAAATACACATTTATTTGTGTTATCCTAAAGAAATTAAATATGCATTTTTGTTCTTTCTATAAAAACTGAATAAGGAAAGTGTGTAGAAGAAAGATAAATCTTTAAATTTCTTTTCTACCATACCCACGATTTGTTTCCTTCCTGTTACTTTGCAACCTAGAGCTCTCTTAGCAGAAGTAAAGGAAACCCTAGGGAGTGAGGGATACAAAAGCATTGATGAACTCATATAAATATCTTCTCTCACTAGGAACTTGTGGGTTTCCCAAACAATTCAGAATCAACCAGGAGAGGGCATTATCAGTGGGTCCCTATATACTAGCCTCTCCCAACTCTCACCTCCTACATTTATCAAAAGGCTCGAGCTTCCTAGACTGGATATTTTAAAAGAGCTATCCCAGGAGTCGTTTCTACACCACACTGATGCAATTCCTCAGCTCTTGGTAGGCTTATCAACAAATAATATAAGTATGCACTTACCAAAAGAAATGTCCGGATTGTTCTAATTTTGTTAAGTTCAAGAAGCAATTTTTGTGCCTTCTCATGGTTACTACAATATTCATCATAGATACGAAACTTGTCTTTCTGTGAATTCAAGTAAGAATAAGTTAGAGCCATTTTATGATCCATTTTAAAATATTAAACTGTGTGATGTTTATGAACAAACTTTATGAAGCATCTGCTATGTTTTAAGAGTTATGCTGTATGTATGTAGAAATACATTTCATTTATTTCTTTTCCCTGATCCATGAAGAATAGCCTTGGGAAGGGGCTAGACATATTAATTACAGTCCAATATCATGTGTGCAAAAATAGGGAAATGAACCAAGTGGTAGCCACTTACAGAGAAGAGAGTCCCTAGTTCTGCTGAGAGGATTTAGATACAGCTTTAAAAGAGAAGTAACATCAGAGAAAGGTCCAGAGACATGAATCCACGACTCCCAGGCAGGGAGAGGGAAGACAGTGTTGCAGGGAGAGGGAAAGTGTACGCCAGATCATACAGGACTCTAGACACGCACAGGCACTGAGCTGGGCTGTGTGCTTAAGAGGAACACTGACAAGTGGGAGAATATTCAGCCACAAGTGACTAAGGTCAGGAAGCCACTACATATGAGAGGTTGTTTCAGAAAGATATATGCTAGTATAAAAAATAAGGAAATGGTAGCTGCATTTAAATACTGTCATATTGCAAAGAACTGACAACTTCGTGTAATTCCAAAAGACAAAACTAGGACCACTAGGTGGAAATTGCAAGGGAATGAGGGGCAGTGATTGGTAGGTTCGGGATTAATATAAAGATTTTCTAACAATTAGACCTGTCACTAAAAGAGATCAAGTTAAAACAAATAACCTTCACAGATGCTAGAGACGGGACACTTTCAAAAAAGGAGGAATTTCACCATCATGATCTCTAAGCTTTCCTCTATCTGTAAGATTTTCTCTAAGTGGCTATGAGCAAAGCAGTACCAATCAAAGAAGATAGAAAATGTGTTGATCAAATACTACAACAGAAGTGTGTCCCCTTGGCTGGTGTGGCCCAGTTGGTTGAGCGTCTTCCCATGCACCGAAGGGTCGCCGGTTTGATTTCCCGAGGGCACAGGCCTAGGTTGCCGCCTTCGTCCCCAGTGGGGGGAGTGCAGGAGGCAGCCGATTGATGGTTCGCTCTCACATCAATGTTTCTCTCTCTCCCTCTCCCTTCCTCTCTAAAAATTAATATTTTTTTTTAAAATATCAACAAAATAATAAGCTTGTCCCGTGAAATGTTAAAGACCCTCATTTAGAAAGAAACAGGAGTGCTATTTTATATAGCCAGTGGGAAACGTATTGCATTACTTATTTCAAGAGATGGTTTGAACAAGAATAAAACAAGCTTCAGAAATAGTTTAGCCGAATGCGTGGATGACAGATGGATGGTGTGTTACAGAGGAAATAAACGTCAGGGGGGAAGAGTCCCATGTGCAGCACTAAACTGAGACAGCAGCCCCTCCAGCTGGCAGGAGACTAGAATTCTCTCATGACGGGGAGCAGCCTGGGTTAAGCGGACACAAACGTGCTTGGCTTCCAGCCATTCATCTTCCTCCACCCAAGGAGCCTCTCTCTTTAATATAATTATCTTTATGATTACAAAAATAACATATACTGAGTCTTCTCGCTACATATAGAAATACAGATTTAGAAACTACATGTAGGGTGGGGGGTAGTAAAGGGTAAAGAGCCCAAATATACGATGATGGAAAATGATTTGACTTTGGGTGGGGGGCACACAATGCATTATACAGCTCATGTATCAAAGAAATGTACACCTGAAACCTATATGAACCTATCATTAGTGTCGCATCAAGAAATTTAATTAAAAATATTTGATGAATAAAAGGAACAAAAAAAGCAAACTACATATAGTTACTTTTATAAAAGAGTAAATAGAAATTTAAAATAAACAAAAATTGATTTCAATGGCAAAATACTCTTATCCATTTCTTAATAAAACATTAATTGTACAGCATTTTCAAAAAATATGGATTCAAAATAGTATTCTGAAAGTTAGAATCAGTGGAATGGCCTAAATAGCACTTTTTTAAAATAAATGCTTTTTAGTTCTGAAAACAATTTCAATCTACAGGTGGCTTTTCACTTTGCAAATCGATTACTTCAGCTATTGTATCCAAAGGGATAAAAATGCTCATACGAGCACAAGGTACAATCTGAAATAGCTGAACACTGACTTGTCCTTCTGCACTGCTCAGGAAACCCTTCTGAGAAACCATCCTTGAGAAAAATACCTAGAGTCACCGGGTTTGTTCACCTCCAGGTTTGTCACCAGTCGATGAACAAGGGGACATTCTGACTAATCAAAGGCTCCTCAGGCCATTATAAGAGTAAGACTTTTCTGCCTCAAAAGAGAAATGCTCTATGTTTGAAAGAAACATAAAAATCCATTCATTATGAACAGCTTGAATATTCATTAGAATTCAAAGCTCCAGAGGATGTGAAGAACTAACTTGCTGGTGAAATGAAAAGGCTGTTTACCCTTCACTGAATAAAATGGGAGATCTGAAGCCCTCTCCCCTTTTCTGGCTGCAAGTGGGAGATTTCATTGGCCTTAAAAGACCCCAAACTTCTGGTGTCAGATTTTACTTCCAGTGCTGAATTCCCACATCCTACTAGGCCAAAAGCTAAACCTCAAAATGTAGGGGAAAGGAGCATTTAAAATAAACAGAAAGTTATCCTACGAAGTGAAGAAAGCAGGTTCCCACTTCTTGCTGAGCGTTAGGTTCAGGATGTAAGCATTCTTCCACCACTTTTAAGAATTCCTTATGTACCGCAAGGATATCCTCAATGTTTGAGAACAGAATCTGCAAATAAATAAATGTGTAAGAATGTGCAAAAGTGAAGCAAGTTCTTAAAAAAAAGTCTATGCAAATATAGTTTCCTCTTCCAAGCTGAAAACTTCAGTGGATAGCTATCTGTCCCACATCCATTCCTTCCTCCCACCCAGCGGGCAGACTACCAACTGTCTGGACATCCCCTCTCCTCCCACACAGCTTTGGGAACCAGGAGCCTATTTTTGGCTCTCAGAGAAATCCTGAGTAACTGAATCCAAGCATGATGGTCCCACCCCGTTAACAAGGGTAAGAATGGGCTGCAGGTAAACCAGTACAGGCAGATTGGCTGGAAGGCTCGCTGATCCTAAGGAGGGCACCCTGGAATGGACAGCCCTTTGCCACCTCTAGAAAAGTGCTTTGTCTCGACAGGTCCAGGGTCATTTTACAGCTGTGGGAGGAGCCAGTCCAGGGGCAAAGCTGATAACCCAGATGGCCGAGGGAAGGGCTAGAGAGAAGCTGGCAATCTTATTAACCTCCCTGAGTCACAAATCCTAAAGGTTCTCTTCTGTCTGGAGGCCTAATATGAGAGCCAAAGTGTCTTCAAATCAATTTGAGTAATAGGCGTCTTTTACTAGCAAAAGCATGCAAACTAAAATACTCTCATGGTAGGAGAATTGGAAAGCTAATATTTAACTTATGGGGAAATAGAGTAAGGAGAGCCAATAAAATCCTTGAAAATTTTTTATTTTCAGTAAAGTAAAACAGCAAGCTAGCATAAAAAATAAATATCAATGATGATTTATACAACTTAATAATGACTATAGCACAATTCATTTTCATTTGCCATCCCTTTTTTGTTCCCAAAGCTCTTCAAAATTATCCTTCCCTACAGTTTAAAAGGAAGTGCTTATACATTTATTTCTGAGTTCCAGATATTATCCGGACTTTCTTTTCTGCACCAATGGACCATCCAAATCGTTTGTTCTTTAGTGATCAGAGACTGGAAGCTGCATCTGCCCACATCCTATCTCCCTGAGTCACTTATAGCAATCATCTTACACAGCTCAGCTCCCTCCCTCTCATAGACACTAAGTTCCTGGTCTTGGGTTTATTTTTATTTTCGAACTTTTTCAAGGTTTCAGGAAAAAAAATTTTCTCTACTACGTCTTCTACTCCATTCTCTTAATCCCCATTTCTTTTCCCAAACCCTGGTTTTTCTTTTTCTCAGTATCACCCACACAAGTGAATGGCACAAGAATTTATACTGGGACTGAGATAAGTTGAAAAGTCCTGAAGAAACACCCCCCAGATGAAATTTTAGGGGGAACTTGTGTTTGGGCCTAGGGCCTATTGTCGCTCCTCACCTTCACTGTTTCCTCTGTGACATTTTTGTCAACTTTTGATGCTGCACACTGGTTCATTCGGTGTAAGAATGCCTGCATGGAACAAAAAAAAGATATTATAAAATAACTGTGTTCATCAAACTTAAATTATAGTTTTTTACAAGAAACCAAAGTTTAAAAATCCAGTAATTGTTGAGTAGAATAGTTTTATCGTAAAGGGGGGACCTCTTGTGCATTGCTGCTCCTAACTGAAAATTGTATTTCCTTTATAGTTTTGGGTCAGGGCCACATGGAATCACGTATATATTAATTAAATTTATCCACTGGAGTCTCAAAGTTCTCTGGTAAACATTTACAGTCAGATGTTTCCTAAACTTCTAAGTCTTATGAAGCACAAAAGACCAAAGTCTAATGAAAAACAAAAGGGCCAGAAATTCTGAATTAACCCCATTAGAACTGAGAGAGATTGAGAAAGGGAGGGAGTGAAAGTGATTCTTCAAGAAGAAATAGAAGGATGTCCCTGCCCTTTTACCCTCTCCCCCAAGTTGTAGGAAGCCAGAATTTATATTTCTGAGATCAGCTCAGGGTTCTGCATAGCTCTATTGTAGACAAATAGTTCATTAGCATTTCAAAAATCTGGATTCTTCTTGATGGTCATTAAGCTTTGACCCATGGTTAAATAAGCCGTTATTTTTGCAAAGGGGGAAAAAAAGTATGAGTTATTTATATTGGGCTTCAAAAGAGAAAGTTTAGAAGGAAAAGGAGAAGAGACTTTCCATCTAGCAAAGTTAATTTGTGTCCTCAAGACATTGTCCATTTAAGTACCCAATGCCCATGCGAGACCATTCTTTCCCTTGTCTGTCTTAATGACTCTCCCACTACCTGCCAAGTCAGGGTATAGCTGAGCAGGGCACCATCTCCACAGGACGCCAACTCCCCAGGGCACAGAGACACTCTAGGGAAGCTCTGGACACTGTATCAAACAAATTACAGTGAGAATCCCATTTCTGGCATACCAGGATCGGTCACGATGCCTTGAGCACCATCGGGACACTGCTAGTAAGAGTCTAAAATGGCACAGCATCTCTGAGAACTTGAGAGCATAACTCAGGTTGTTAAATGGGTATCTCCTTTAACTCAGCAAATTTAACTCTAGAAATTCATCCTAAGAAAATATGCAGACAAGGGGTTTCAGTGTATTGACTATAAATGTGGAAATACTGGAAGGAACATAAGTGGCCATCAATGAGGGAATCATTTAATATATTTTTATACATTCAAATTTTAGAATACATTACAAAAGTACAATCATAAGTGGAATGTTATAAAATTATATATACATATCTGTGTTTAAAACAGTTGTCTCTAAGATACTGTTTGGTGAAAAAATTTACAAAGTGGCATATTTAATATGTACATACATATATGTACACACATACATAGATATACACACATACAAGTATATATACTTATATACAGATGTGCATGCCAAAACACAAACAGTGGTTACCTCCAGGTAGTGGGAAAGCAACTTTTGTACACTTCCTTATTTTTAGGCTATTTGACTGTGAGCATGTTATAACTTTTGTTAAAATAAAAACAAAACTATCTGAAAGAAACAAAACAAATGAGCCACAAGCTCTTACTCCTAACATTAGCTTCAGCACCATCTTTATTCCTGAGTCAACCAACTCATGTTTCATATTCCATAACTATAAAGCTACATAGCTTACATAGAATAAAATAATTCAGCTGAATTAAATAAAACGAATAAAAACATAATAGATATTACCTTAATTTTTATTTTATTTCAATTTTTTGAACTATTTTCTAAATTTACATTTAATTGGCAATGGAAACACAGGTTTTGGATTTTCTGACTTTAAGTGCCCATTTAATTAGTATTAGTCTGTTTAATTTTAGTTTTGTTTTTCTTGAATATTTTTCCACATCCTCATACCAAAAATGCTCTTTAGATCTTTCCATTTAGTCTTAAAATAACATGGGTGGTTTAGTTGCCTAGTTTACATTTCAATATTGACCACACAGTAAACAGGTAACCTCTTGAGCAAGCAAAGCTTAAACTTCAAGTCTAGACTTATAAACCTTATCTTCGTAAACTGAACTCAGTCATGTCCTGAAACCAATAAATTAAAGTAAGGAGGCAGTCAAAATGATTCAAAATGAGTTCGAAGAGGAAATAGTAACTAGTAAACAATCTCTTTATCTGATTTTCCATCTTCTTATCCTCTGTGACAATGTGGAACTATTTGCTTAACTGTATACGAAAGAAAACCTGAAACTTATTAGCATTTCTGACCAAGCATTTATTTTTCCCAAGAGCCTCATTTTACACAACAGTGAAGACAGATTTTAGATAGTTTGTTGAGAGTGCAAACTTATAAAAACTGGTTGACATTTTTTTTACAAAATGTGTATGCTTTCTTTCTTGAAGACAGAGATAAGTAATGTGTGTTCAGAATCATCCTGGAACAACCAGTATCTATAGGGTCCTCTCAGACTTTGGTGACTGGGGCATTCACCCATTTCATATCAGTCGAGACAGCATTAATACCCCAGTCATAGAACCATGGGAGGGGTTAATATGCTGTTTATCTCTGCATCCAGTCATTCTCACTGGTCCAGAATTTCAACAGAATTAGATCATCTTCATTTTAATACAAATATATTGAAAATAAGTACTGGAAAGTAGCTTTTTGTGCCAGTGGTTCTCAAACTTTTTATTATGTGCTAAGACTTGGAAAGTTTCTTCCAAATGCAGATTCCCTGGCCTATCCCCAGGTCTGATTCAGCAGATTAGTTCAGGACCCAGAAATCTGCATTTTAAGCAAGCTCCCTAAAATGCAAATTTGCATTCTGATGCAGCTGGTCTACAGGCCAGGCGTTGATGACCATTCCTTTATGTTTAGTCTTCCAAAGTCTGAAAAAACAGACTTTGAGAAAAAATAAGTGAGCCTGAATGGAAAAAAAAAAGGGGGTTCATTTATTTCACCTTGACTTTCAACTCTGTCAAACTCCCTCTATGTACAACACCTTCTCATTCAGCCACTTGGGATTGCTAATACCCCACCAGAGGACCCTGCCCCCCAATAATGAAAACCACACTCTAGGAGTAAACAGGTCTCAATAACCTCTGAATGCTGGGGAGGTGTAGGGACAGGTGAGCCAGTTAAGAGACCACATCACACTTGGACGAAGTGAGGCTCGCAGGGGCCCCTCCAGGTACCTTTCAGGGGGAAGGTGTGTCAGCAGGCACTCACTCCCCTGCATGCCCCCAACTTGATTCTGCACAATGTGTTCCTAGATATCATTGCAGTCATGGCTGCCTTTTTCCTGCTCAGAGAGAACTCTTCAACTTGCTGCACATAGTGTTTTCCTCTTATCGTGTATTCAGTAAAATTTGTCAAATGCTATGTATTAATTAAAGTTTAAGAAAGCAACAGATGTCACAAATTTGCTACTAAAAAATCAAAAGAAAGAAGAAAACTCACTAAGGTACAACAGGGAGATGACAGCAATCCCCTTGCCCCTGGTCTGCCCATCTGGGCCACTGATAGCTCAAAACTAAAGTCCATGATGAGTTTTATTCTCAGAATACATCTGCGAATTTCCTAATTTCAGTGTACTCAATAATCTCTCAGCTCATTTTTGTCCTTCCACTCTTTTCATTTGTCAGGCACACACAGTAGATCTCGCAAAAGTTCCACATATTTTAACAGTCTGTACTTCTAATTCTAGATACCTGATGCCAATCTGAATTTCACAATATTCTATAGGCTGTAAACCTTATTACTCCTATAAATATTCTATATTCAGAATGATCTTAGCAACTTGTCATCTTAAAAATGTGGCTATCTCACATGGAAAGAGATAGGTAAATATTATATATAAAGGTAAAAAGGAAAAATTTAAGAGAGGCTGCACTATTGCAGGAAATTGTATATTCATTTCATGAAAATAAGTGAAAAAAATAAAGGTAAATATTTTCCTTTTACCTCTTGAACCTAAAACAATATTATCACATCAAACTTCTTTAGAAGGTAAGTTTGTTTTTGTCTTCCCAAGAGAAAAACAAAGTCCTAATAAATAAAAAAGATGTCATTTGAGTGTATCCTGAGCATCTGCTTGATAGTGGTACTGTTTTATTGGAATGGAAAAGTCTGAAGGAGCAGTGGTTTAGGGGTGGAAGAATCAGAGTGTGTTCAGTCAATGTTGAGCTTGAGATGCCTGTTGGACACCAATGTGGAGATCTCAAGTAGAAAGTTAACTGTGCCAATCTGAGGTTCTGAGGAGAGAGCGGAGCTGAAAGTAGAGTTGAGGATCCCCAACACAAAGACATAATGCGGGAAAAGTGTACAGAGAGAGAAGAGACAGCCTGGCCCCAGTCCACTGGAGAGGGAATACAGATGGAGAAGACAAAAGTCCCCACAACAGAACCTTGGGGCACTCCAACATTTAGAGGCCAAACAAAGGAAGAGAAACCAAAGAAGCCATAAGGTAAGAGCAAACCCAGGAGACTGTGGTATCACAAAAGCCAACAGCAGAGAGTTTTCAGAATGAGGGGTGTGATCAACTGCTTGAACAGTGCTGAGAAATCAAATAACAGATACATGGCTTGACAACACAGAGGTCAGTCACTGGTGATTTTGACCAGAACAGCTCTCAGTGGAATTGGTAGAAAAAAATTCTATTAGAAAAATTTAGAACTATTAGAAAACACCATTAGAAAATAATTCAACAATGTTTACGCTATGTGCCAGACATTGTTCTTGGCAGTGGTTTTTAAATGTTTCAGTTTCAGGACTCCTTTATACTCTTAAAAATTATGGAGAATCACAAATAACTTTTATTTGTATATATTATATCTATCAATGTTTAACATATTAGAGTTAGAACTAAAAAAAATTTTAATATTTGTTATCCAATAAATCATTTATAAATTTATTAAAAATCAATAAACCCATTACATGTTAGCTATATAAAACATATCCTTATGAAAAATAGCTATCTTTTTCAAAATAACTTGTGGTACTGTTTCATGTAATTGCAAATTTCTTTCATGTCTAGGTAAATAGAAAATGGCTAAATTCTCAGATAATTCAACTTGTT